CATCCTCTATGCCAGGCTCTGTCGGATTCCTCTCCAGCTGCTGCTGCCCACTTTGCACCCTTCCCCCTAGGCAGGGATCTTTAAGGTTTATCACTTTTGATCCTAAATTCAAGCCTGGAAGAATAAATCTTGCTAGCTTAGTTGGAGCCAGGCAGGTGCATAGGCTCTCAGTTAATAGCTTCCCAACTGTTTCCTCAAAAACCATTAGTATCACGGGTACCGGAACAGGGGGTGTCCGTGGTCCCTCCATGGCTGCATGAGGGGGTGTACTGGGCTACGGTGGGCCCCCCCCTTTTAGGGAGTTTCTGCCATTCCATGCTTTGTAGTCTCTGTGATATTCTTATCTTTGCCATTGTTCCATTTCCTTTCGGCTTCCCTCTGCCAACAGCCTCCTTTGATTTAACTCTATGCACGCAGGCAGAATAATATCATAAGTGCCTCAGTGCTTGTCTACACTGGCACTTTACAGCGCTGCAACTTTCTCGCTCAGGGGTGTGAAAAAACACCCCGAGTGCAGCAAGTTTCAGCGCTGTAAAGCACCAGTGTAGACAAATGCACCAGTGCTGGGAGCTGCACCCCTCGTGAAGTTGGGCTTTTTTAGAGCACTGGGAGAGCGCTCTGCAGCGACTACACAAGCCATGTTAAAGCACTACCGCGGCAGCACTTTAAATTTGCCAGTGTAGACTAGCCCTCAGTTAACTTGGCTGATATCTATAAAAAATACTACAGATAGTTTCCTTGTTCTCCACTCAAACATTGCTTTGTTAGATGTGTTCAGAGTGAAAGTGGATACATATCCATTTCTACTGAGACTTAGGGGTGGACTTTATTTTCATAAAATAAAACATGAAGACAAAGACAGCCTTACAATGAGACACGTAGCCTGAGAACATAACAGACACAGTAGATTTTTGCAGACTTATCCACAGGTACCCAACCAAGGCAAACGTATTATTTAATGCCTTGTAAAAGAAGCAGAATGCTTTTAGCAACATTAAATGCTGCAGTAGTAATTGAGTCTCTGCCATGTGATTTAGTACAGGATGCCAAATTTCATTACATCTCTCCATGCTGCCATTAAACTCCGTAAATTAATCTCTCGCTTGACAGTTAATTCCAGCTACTCCCAAATGCTCCCTCCAAAAGATCTCTAGAACCATTGAATAATTTTTGAATCTATAAGAAAAGGACATTCCATTAATATGAACATACAGCAACATTAAATCTAAAGAGATATCAGTCACTGCTCCATCTACTCCTAAGTTAATAGTTATTAAAACACCTACACAGAAACATTAGGATCCAGATCCACAAAGGGACTTAGGCACCTTGACAATCACTGGAATCTTTAACCTTGGGAAAAGCACCTAGACTAAAGGGATACAATGCACGGGGAGAGAGAGGTGATGGAGAGTGGGATTCACAAAGGCTTATGGGAGATGCTGATGAAGTGGGTCTTGCCTAAACCTTGTCCCTCTTACAGAGTTGGGTCTCTATCTATGCTTGAAATCCACAGCCAGGAACCCTGCATTAGAGTCAGGGGCCTAACCCAGTCTTGTTTGCCTAAAAGCAGCGGGGTGGGGGTGGGGTGGGGATGGGGATGGGGATGGGGTGGGGGGAAGAAGAGGATGAGGAGGAACCAGCTTCCCTTATAACCTCTGGCCTTGTAGTAGGGAACTCCCATGAGAAATGGGAGACCCAATTCAACTCCCCCACCCCCATCTGCCTGATGAGCAGGGATTTGAACAGAGGTCTCCTGCCTCTCAGGGGAGAGCCCCAACTACGGGGTTAAACAGTATAAGGGAGCTTTTGCTGTCATTCTTGCTCCTGCTGTTGTGTGTGACATTAGGTATGTTTTGAGCATGCCTGCTGGATTGGGCCCAGAGGTGAGATATGCAGAACACCTGGTTTGAGGATCATGCTGGGGCACAGGTATGAGCTAGGCACGCAGTGTGCATGCCCAGGGGCAGCAACTTAGGCACCTAGGGAATTTTTACAGCAAAAATATAGGTGCCAAGTAAGTTTAGGTGCCTATAAGCAGAGCTCCAGGGACAGGAGAAGGGTCATTGCCCCTTCCTGCTTTAGAGAACCTGAACTTGGCGGGGGCATAAAATGCGAGAGAGACAAGGAGCCCCTGTCCAGAGTGAGATGGTGTAAGGAACCTCTTCCCTACTGGCATGATTCAGAGGTGGTGGGGCCATATTTGTGTGAGTGGCGTTGCAACTTGGTGCTTGGCCTCCCTCCATTTTGGAGTCCTTCCGCTGCCCCTGCCTGCAGGGTTAGGCAGCAGCTGAGTTGGCGGGCGGGTGGGAGGGGGGTGTGGATTGTGGATTGCACTAGCACCTAAATCTGGGGTTTAGGCGCCTTAGTATCTCTTGTGGATCTGGGCCTAGGTGCCCTGATAATAAGGGCTTATCTTCATTATGGGGGAGATCGATGCTGCTGCAATCGAGGCAGTGGGTGCCGATTTTAGCAGGTCTAGTGAAGACCCGCTAAATGGATAGCAGAGCGCGCTCCGGTCAACCCCAGTACTCCACCTCTCCGAGAAGAGTAAGGGAAGTCGACCGGAGAGCGTCTCCTGTTGCTACAGCGCAGTGAAGACACCGGGGTAAGTAGACCTAAACTATGTCGACTCCAGCTACGTTATTCACATAGCTGGAGTAGCGTAACTTAGGTCGACTTACCCCAGTAGTGAAGGCACGCCCTCACTTACGCCCAGGTCCTTAAAGGTATTTAAGCACCTAACTTACACTGAAATTAATGGGAGTTAGGTTCCTAAATACCATTGAGGATCTGGGTCTAAGCACCCACAAGCCTTTTTAACAAAATCTTGTCTATATAACAAACTCAGCACACCAGCGTGAGAAAACAGATCCTTTCCATCCCTTACTGTATCAGGAACTTACCTTCAACGGTCTCCAAAAATCCCTATCAAATAATGGCTTTTGCAACTTGCTGAAAGTCATCAAATCTGGGCTATTTCAGTGCATGTTCCATAATCCCAGGGCCCTTACAAAGAGCCTCCTCTTAAGGAGGGTTCAGCTCAAATGCTTCTAATTACCCCCGCTGTGGCAGTATGTCATGGGGGCGGGGGGGGGGGGGCCGGGAGAGAAGAGGTGATCACTCAAATAGGTAGATTCCAAACTTAATTGGTCACATGCCCTCATGAAGGTGTTGGTTATTCCCACAGCCTATGCATGTATACCTCTCGGATCACCTATCCCCAAGCACCTGTCATCTAAACCTGCTCTGCATGAATATGTGAACAAACCAAGGTTCCAGGAAATGCTGTATATACTCCGAACAGTGATTAGGTGGGCTCTTTAAAATTCACCCGTTCTTATCCCCCTTTTATGAAATCCCCAAATGAGATTCATTTCTCAAGCTCTTTTTATGCTATACCTTTTTCTTCCCATGCACATTATTTTTTCCGTTTGCACACAGCTCTTCCACCCATGTTTGAAATTTATTATTAGTTTTGTCTTACCAACATAATTCTGGGAAGGTTTGCTAGTTGACTGTGGCACCAGAGCCATGTGGTGGAGGCCAAAATTACTGTCTGTCTCTTGCTCTTACAAAGACAGAACTATTATTTAGTTCGTCTTTTTTAATTTTTTTGGTCAGAGTGGTGAATTTTAAAAGAATAACTGTAATATGGCTAATGAAAATTTCCCCTAAGTCATATGTGCACTGATGTGATATAGCAAATATTAGTTCTATGTATAACTGTGTAAGTGTTTATAGGGTATACATCAGTGGTGCCCATCTTTAGTGTTTTTTTTTTAAAGTATTTCATGTTAAGAAGTTTGAATTTCAGTATATTTCATTTGGGGAGAGCTGATATTTAAAAGAAAAAAACAAATCTCTCAAATGACCCACAGCCATCAAGTTATGCATATACTGTAGTTAATTTCTGTAGTTACATATGAGTTATCCTATTTTTCCCCACTTCTTCCCTCCTGTTAGTTGTGGTTTCACATTTAATTGTAAACTCTTCAGAGCAAGGACTATGTCTTCCTGTGGGTTTGTCCAGAACTTAGCATGATGGGGTCTCAGTTCTGATTGGGGTGCTACCACAATCCTAATAATAAATATATTAATAGGACCATGTGTTGGGTATTTGCGCTGTGTGCTAACTGGCCGTACCTTTGACATGCCCATTATCTCCCTCTCTTCTCCTGTGGAGACCAATCACACAAGTCACATTGATGAGGCGAACTGGGATGCACAGTTCCCTTGGTGGTCACTCAGATATTTGCTCATCAGTGTAGTAGGAACACACAGCATTAATGTAGGCTTTTGATACTAATCATGACTGGGCCTCTGCTGTATATTTAAAGTTAATGTAACATTTATACAAACAAAAATAGTACAATTGCAAGAGTCCCTGCCTTCTGTGTGTATGGATCTAAGCATAGTACTGCTACTTCTGCTTCCATGGAACAGTGTTAAAATTCTGTCTATGGGATGATGCCACCTATTGGATAGTCTTAGAATTAATAAGATGAAGCAGTTCAAAGAAAAACAATTCTGATATGCATGAGGAGTTTTAATAAATCTGGCCATGTTTACATCTATTTTATATAAACCAGTTGCTAGAAGAAAGTTTCTGTTGGGACATTCTGAATTTCGGTGTACTGCTACAAAAATGAAAGGATGTTGCTAGAAAAAGCAGTTGGGAAAAGAGAGCTTGGATCCTCTGCCACACAACTGGAAAGAGAAAATGAAGAATAGAAAAAAAAAGAAAATGAGAACTACAGGCAGTGCTTAAAATAAGAAGTTTTCACTTTGCGGCACTTTAAACTAATCTCTTGAATTGCCCTTAGCAACCTAAACTGAAACTTTAAAAGGTTTCTGCTTTGGAAAATGTACCTTGAGATTCTCTGAGAGCACACTGTTAAAAATGAAATGCCCTTTCAATGGCTTTTCCAGCAGTGAAACACCTCCCACGTTCGATCTGATTTTGGTGAAACTTTAGAAGGAGCAGTATAACTACTTGATCATATGGCAAAAACTGAAAATACCACTTTATTCTTTACTTTGATTAAATGTATTCTAGTAATATTTGCATACAAAAAACCAGCACAATAACAGTTATTAAATATTTGAGTCATGACACTATAAAGACTTACAAACTTTGGAATTCTGGCATAGAAACACTTCATCAGAATCATAAGTGTACAACTGGAACAGAATGGTGACAATTAAAAAAAAATCCACTAAGGTTTGGTCCTGCTCCCATTGAGAGTCAATGATAAAACTCCCATTGACTTTAATGGCACAGGATTAAGCCCTGAATCCTAGACACCTTCCTAACAAATAGTCCCCCTGGCCTGAACAGGACAGCTCATGTGAGTACGGTGAGCAGGATTTGGTCCTAGATCAGTTCAGAGTAACAGGGAGATCATACAGTATAGAAAAGCAGGCAGTATCTTTCCAGATTTTATTTTAAAAATATAAAATATTCAGCACTTCAAAAACTTACTAGTGGCTCTTCATTTGCAAAGGAAACTACTCATTACTTGGGGAATATTTACTAAACATATATAAAGAATGGTTCTCCCTCAGCTGGAGTAATTATCATTCTACTTTCTTGTCCCTGACTAAATGTCTACAACATCTGGCAACAGAAATCATTTTGTTTATTTTTAACAACCCACTTCCAGATTACTGGACTAAATTTGGATGTGAAGGAAGTAAGTGCAGCTCCAACATGTGTTGACGTGCACCAATTGGTCTGCTGAGATTAAAAGCTAACACTATAGAAGGGGGAAAAAACAAAACATTATAACTACTAGTGAAGTTATACAATCATTTTACATTTGCATTACCATAAATTAATATTACAATGACAAGTGAATGAGAAACTTTGAACTAGTTATATCTACAGTGATACAAAACTTGAGGATTAATCAAAACCTCAAACTGGAAGTCAATTTATCACATCTCTTGCGTTGAAAGAACAATCAACTATTTTAAACGTTGTAGAACAGATAGTGTAAAGCAGAGTAGTTTCATGGACTTCAAAGAAACTCACTTACTCAATTCCAGTGATGCTATCCTAAGTTTATCCCCACTGAAAATCCTGCCGTGTTCTAAATACCCCTTTGCTTTACTAATACTCTCCCAGAAACTTGAAAAAGTAAAACTGACCTGTCTGTTCATAGTTCAAGGTAGACTTTTTTGAATGTTTAACTTCTGTAGCATGCCAGCAATTACAAGACTTTTAGACCCTATTTGGTGTCAGGACACTGATGAAAGTAATATTTAGTTTTATACGTACTGAAGCTGTGAGAAGCAATTAACTTTAATGAGACTTTTTTCTTTTAATCTGCGACTGATTAACATTAGCATGATTACTATGAACCACATGCAGATGTGTTGCACTGTTCTTGCCATTATGTCAACAGTCCTTAAGATTGGGTCATATCTGATTTCAAACTCATTCTATCTCTTGGCATCTTCTGTATGAAATCGCCTTCATTTGAAATATGTGCTCCTTCCTCTGTGTCTGAAATATGTTATTAATCGTTGCCCTACCGGGCCACTCTTACATGTTTGATTTACATCCTCGACCTCAGCTTGCCGACAAGGGGTTTATTAACACAAAATTCTGCCCACCATGATGGTCTCTCCAGCACCTTGCTGCCTTGAAGGACTATTGTCCACAGATTTTTATACAGCTGCAAAAGAAGAAAAATGTAGATTAACATAAGCAGAAAATCATTTAAATTTCACAAAAGTTTAAACAATTCAAATAAAACCAACTGAAATGGAATTGCAACTGTATTTCTAGGAATACAGAACAAGCACAAGGAATAAGCACAAAATAAATTGCATAATTACATGAAAGCAAGAACAAAACAAATTTGGGATCAGATCTTAGCTGGGGTAAACTGGACTAGCTGTGTTGACTTAGTTGAGTGAGGCTGATTTGTGCCACCTAAGGATCTGCCCTTTTAACCTTTTAACTGCTATAAAACAATCATGAAGCAAAAGAAAAACAGTGACAACTCTAGGGTTCTTGATTTCTACTTAATTTTCCTGGTGATTTTTTTTAAATTCCATCTTTATTTCAGTTATCTCAACAAGCACAGTTCATAGAGGAAAGATGAAATGAAGCTGTGTTTCATTCCGTCCATGCCTCTGGAAGTTATAGCTGAAAATACTCTGTTTTTACCCTTCTTTCTATATGTTTTTGGCAAGTTACAGAATTTTTCTCCCAGATGTGAACACTTCTGTTTGAGCATCAGAAATTCCTCTCCCATCAGCACATTGTTAATTCATCAGTCTTTCCCAACTTATTTTATGCAGCCCAGCTAAAAGCATTAAATGGGAAATAAATTCTGCAAAAGGCCACTTTAATAGTGTAGATCTGTTGAGCACTAGTCAGGTTACACCTTTTGCTATTTGGAAATATTTGACAGTTTCACAATTAATTTAAACTTTTAATACCATCCTAGAAAAATGGGAGGAGGTGAGGGAGACCAGATTCTCACCTGGTGTCAATCACAATAGCTTCAATGACTTCAATGGTGCTAGACAAATTTACACCAGCTGAGGCTTTGGTCCTACATGTATGGAAATCAGATCACTGATTTAGGTGCCCAAATAGGAATTTGAGTACCTAAAAGCAGACATGCAAGTGTGAAATTTTGACCACGCAATTGCTGACACTTAGCCACAGGGTAAGTTTAGCCCTTTCCCCCCATGAATAACCCTCCCATTGACGGGGAGTCCCATCCTTCGGAGGCCACACTCCAAAACTACCAGGTCTAGAAGATTTTAACAAAGTCACAGGTAGACTGTGTTCAGTGCCATGAAAATGACCACCTCCCTCTTCTTTGCTCCTAATTCTATGTGTCTGACTCTTTGGTAACGACTCCCCTGCAATCGAATAAGTGAATCAGAAGTTGCTGCTTTCATTTTGGGTAGCTGCAACAGCTTGATTAGGAACAGGGTGGTTCTTTCATTTAGACTAGTTAATTTTTATGTTGTTGATAGTTCAAGCAGTAAACAAGGAAGTGGAACAAAAACTGTCTTCAGCATTCTGATGATGTGTCTAAAACAACGTTTTAATTGGTGTCTGCACAAGATAAAGCTGAAAATGCCACTTAGGGTTCCTGGAATGGAGACATCCATTGGACTAACAGATGAGTGATCTTTAGTCTCTCTTGTAAAAGAAATGAAATACTTTTTAAATGAGCTTTGCTACCCCATGACACAGGGCCAGATTTTGCCTAGCCTTTACCCAAGTACACAATATGGGTGACAAAGGGAATGATGTCAATATAGTACAATATGTTTTGGATCAGATCCAATATTCAAAGAACATTCTTATACCCCAGCATGGCCTGCATACAGGCCAGGCAGAATTGCCAAGTGTCTGCTTATGAGAGCAGAGATTGTTCCATTCGTGCTCCCAGGAAGGGGAACGGATAGCGCACTGGGGAAAGCAGCACCTCATGAAGGGGTGGGTATTGTAGTAGGTGCTCTCTGCTGCATACTAGAAAACTAAGGGGGCCATTCTGAATACTTTTCACTGTTCCTTGAGGGAAAGTGCAGCTCTGTACCACCCTGTTCTGTGAGCTGTGCCTATCCAGTGTATTCACTGTAGCTCTCAGAAAACAGTGTATATATTGTTTTGTTCAGCCGCAGATATAAGAGGCTAGTAAGATCCACTAAGAGGAATTTTTAGAACGGAAATTTTACAAGAATCATCCAGCTGTACAGAAAGACACTTTCCAAAGCCCTTCACTCTTAACTGGATTGAGGAAGAAACTGACATGCGCAAAGGGATATCTGCAAATGAGCAGCACTTCCAGGACCCACGACACAATGGTATTGCTTAGATGACTGAATGACACTACGAGAAGGCAGACACTGAAACACTCTGGCCAAGATTTTCAAAAGTGATTTTGGGTGCCCAACCTGAGACCCTTTGAAGAGGCCTGATTTTCAGAAAGTGATGAGAATCTATCCCTTTCAAAATCGGGGCCTCTGAAAGGTGCCCCAAGTTGGGTACCCAAAACCCCCAGTCACTTTTTTGAAAATCTTGACCCGTTTTTTTAAAAACCAAATTGGTTTGAGGCTCAGTTAATTAATGTTTGTAAAATACTTTGAGATCCTCCCAATAATGGTGTAAAGCACAGTGGTGGCGGTGTTTATTATTATTTCTGGTCTGTAAGTGTATCTGTTACTTTGCAAGCTAAGGGCTGTCTCAATCCATCACAAGACACTTCCGGACATCATGTTATATACTCTCATTGAATAAATGTGATTCTCTCATGACACACTTTTTGTTAATATCATTCTTGCGGGGTATTGAAAACTGTAGAAATTACAAGCTGTTGCCTTCAAATCCTAAGGGGTTTCTTGGTCCTGTTTGCAGGCTAGGGAGCTCTGAGCATGGAGTCTGGATCCTCTGCTGTCAGTCTGCCAAGAGCCAGCCTAGAGAAAGGTGGGGTGAGTTGTGTATCTTTAGCATCTATACCACACACCAATTTCGGCAGCATGTAGTGTAAGTGTAGCTACATGCTGCAGTTTAAAGCAGGCTGCGGCCACACTTTGGTATATAGCTACATGTGTCAGTGAAAGGCCCTGGCAGGAAGGAGGCAGCAGGGAAAGGATGAGTGTTTTCCCTGCTGCGTCCCCCACTGCCAGAGACTTTCCCTGCTGGAGTCTTTCCCTGTGGCAGGGAAGGGCTCCAGTGGCAGGGAGTTGCTGGGGCCTTTTCCTGCTGCTGGAGTCTTTGCCTACGGAGGGATGCAACAAGATTCCACGCTGACAGATGTATGGCATGAGTGAGCAGAGAGCATGTAGTGTATGTACTCCGGGTACATTCCTACACCCTTCCCGCATGCTTTTACTTGCTTACTCCATGTCTCACAGTCTACACTGCTATTTCTGTCTGTGCTAGGAGGGCTATGCATGTACGTACACTACACACCGCTGAAAGAATCCTGCAGTGTAGACGTACCCTTAGGGAGCAGCCCACATTGTGTCTGTTTTTGGTTCTCGTGTGTTAAGGTTCTGGGTTTTAAGAAATAAAGTAGTGTTAGATCTTTCTGGAAGGTTGCTATGTAATTTCTCTGTTTTTAGGCCATGACCATAACAAATCTTAATTGGAACAAGTTTTAATTTCACTTTGCTCTCATATTAGACATTTTCATTAAAAATCGGGGAAAAAAGGGTAAATTACATTCACAGATAACACTAAAATGAAGGTGTTGTGAGCACCAGTGAGGTCAGAGTAATCATTCCTAGAAAGGTTAGAAATATGGGCAAGGAATAAAAACACAAGATTCAAACTGGTAAAGTGAAAGCTATTACATCTGCTGAGACAATAATTTGAAATAGCAACAGAACTAAACAGAAACAACAACCTCGGATGAAAATCTAGCTCCATTACAATCAATCGGAGTTTTGCTATTGACTTCAAAGGGGCCAGAATTTTACCCTTAGGGTGATAATGGATGGCAAATTAGACTATGCTGGGCAAAGTGATAGAGAAGTAAAAAAGACCAGTCCACTTTCGGGGTCTATGTGCATAGGTACAGCATCATGGAACAAGAAGATAGTAACAGAGAACCAGACTCAATGAGTTTGGGAATCAGCAGGGTTGGAAAAGTTAGAAGGATGTTGGAGGCCCTCCAAATATTAAAATATCTAGAAAAGAGATCTTATGGGATGTACAGTAGCTTCTTCAATCCAGGGTATGCACAGATTTCTACCAAAGCAATACATTCTGAACAGTAGCATGTGACTTCCCCATATACTGGAGCATATTCTCAGCTAGTCCAAATTGTCATAGCTCCATTGAAGTCAAAGAAGCTATGATAATTTATCCAGTTACATAAATGCCTTTTTAATTATTAGCTTTACAAACACAGGAAGGCTTCTCTTTACCTCTCCATCAGCTCTGCCAATGGGTGAGTTCAGAATGAAGTCAGGAGGTGCAATGACATCCACCAAGGCAACTGCATCATCTTTCAACTGTTTAAAAACAAAAAGCATAAATTTGGCAGCTCTTCTAGATTTCTATGGTTACCTACGAACAACAAAGCAGTGCTGGAAGCCACCAGCCAATGGTAACTTAAGAAGTTACACTTTGAAAGATCCACTATCAATACACTGTCTATTCACACTATTTTTGTCTTTCTTCCAGAGCAATTAAAAAAAAAAAGACCCAATTCTGTATTTTAGAAGTTTTCCATGCTTTCCTTAAAAGCATTAAATTTTATTTTCATCTAGGCAGTCCTGTGTATGTCTATACAAACTGATTTAACACACAGCTCATTCATTAACGTACAATTTTCAGATTCTTCTTCTTTACAATTCATATTTTGCCTGGTCAAAATGTGTGCTAGCTTGAAAAGCTACGGGTTGAGAAAAAAATAACACAGACAATATTTATGAGCAGAGATGATAATGAAATAAATAGAATGGCATTGCTGCTCTCAAGTGTTTTATTGGCCTCCCATATCATCCAATAAACACATTACTTCAAATGAAATCCAGAGCATCTTCTTCCAAGAATTTTCCCTCAAAATATTACTTTCTTTGAGCTCTTGTAGTATACTCAGGATTTGATCCAATGCTACTAGCCTTCCCTTTTTTAAACAGGCTATTCAACTGCAAATAGGATAGCATCCTGGTAATCTCTTGAAGTGCAGAGTACGTGGTATGTCTGTCTTCCGTTATTGGCATGTTGTGCTGTTGTCTATCCACACCAAAATGATGTTAGAGACTTACCTTGGAACAAAGCTCCAGAATAGCATGCTGTATGAATCTACCAGGCTGTTCACCTGAAACATATCCACCTGCAAATATATTTACAATGAAATTAAATGGTGAAGTTAGGATTATGTTGAGACATCTCTACCCCGATACAACGCTGTCCTCGGGAGCCAAAAAATCTTACCGCGTTATAGGTGAAACCGCATTATATCAAACTTGCTTTGATCCGCCGGAGTGCGCACGCCCCCCCCACCGAGCACTGCTTTACTGTGTTATAACCGAATTCGTGTTATATTGGGGTAGAGGTGTATATTCCTTTTACCAATGGCATGGTTTTATAAATCTCTTCAGTATTTATGAAGGTGAAATATAGCCTCCTGTGAGAGTTGTGATGACTTTCTCACTCAAGAGGCAGACTTTAAAACTCGCCACCAGGAGCCTTTTACATGTGTAAGTCACAATGCTTGTCTACGGCCCCAGGATGTGTGAATCAGAGCGTGCATTAGAATGCTGCGCTGTAACTGCCCCGGGTGGACACTGTGGGCATGAACTAAAAGGTACCTAGTTCACATTAACATAGTCCTATTTGAAAGAGAACTATGTTAATGTTTGCGGGGTGGGTGAGATAGCTCAATGGTTTGAGCATTGGCCTGCTAAACCCAGGGTTGTGAGTTCAATCCTTGAGGGGGCCACTTAGGGATCTGGGGCAAAATCAGTACTTGGTCCTGCTAGTGAAGGCAGGGGGCTGGACTCGATGACCTTTCAAGGTCCTTTCCAGTTCTAGGAGATGGGATATCTCCATTAATTTATTTATTTATTTTAATTTAATGCAAACTAAGTACCTTTTAGTTTGCACCAGCAGTGTCCACATGGGCCAATTACAGCACAGCATGCTAGTGTAGACAAAACCGCACTTGCAGTGTGGCTAGATATCACCCCTGCCCCAGGGGCTGGATCTCACAGAGGTGTATAAGTTCACTACAGCCCTTGTGCTAACAGAGCTGAGGCTTTTACGTTAGCTAATAGAGGCTGACTCTTCTAGATCCAGAGCTGAATCCCTGCTTCTGACAGCCTATCCAGTAATGTTGCATTACACAGGCAATAACTAAATGTTCTATCATATACTCCAGTCAAGATTCTCTCTCTCCCTGCCAAAGTCCAATGCACTGTATAGAAAAAATGAAGGTTACAATTAGGGCTTTTAAAAAAGGGATCCCTGCTGAAGATAGATTTGTTCTCACCTTGGTAGAGCACGGCCATGTGTTTACTTAAAGACCACAGTCCATACAGAGCACTAAGATGCTTTAGCACAGGCTGGAGTGTAGATGGCGTGTCGGGATCATGAGTGTATTCGTGATACCTTTGTAAGACTGTTTGCTCGATGAAAGCGATGGCTAACGAACGACAGTAGTATACCTTAAGAAATAGAAAAGGATTAAATAACATGTTGACAAACAAAACACAAAAGGGCCAGATCCTCAGCTGCTATAAGATGGCATGGCAACATGGAAGTTAATGGAGTTATGCCGATTTACACCAGTTGACAATCCCCCTCAAGTTTTAACGAATAAACAAGACTCTCTGGGAAGTGTGCGCCTAGGCAAGTGTTTTCAAATTGTGCATTTCAAATGTCTGTTTGGCCAGGGACAATTTTAGGTTTTTCGGAAAGGCAATGGACATATCTACCGCAACTGGAAATAAGGTTCCTAATTCTCCACCACCTCCCAACTTGGACAGTCACTTCTACCTGTCCAAAGTCAGGGCAAAACTGATGTATAATATGCAACCGTTCTGATCTGGCAGCATTTCACACCCACTTTGTACTGGTGTAAATGACTACAGAAAGTGGAAGACAGTTGAGAATCACGTCCAATGTCTTGTTAATGCCCATTGAGCCCTAATAGAAAATGCTATAGAAATTAATATGAATGATACCAGTAGGGTTCTATAGAAATTATTCTAAAATCTATAGTACTGAATAGAGACTGCTCTTCTTTTTTATACATTTTTTTTAAACCATCTTATGGAATTCTATAGCAGGGATAAAATTTTCTACTAAATTATAGGAAAAGGAAGGGCCTGATCCTATAAACATTATTGGACATAGTGCTTACTAGTCCCCATTGACTCTAATGTTGTTTGAAAGAATGACGCAACTAACCCTTTGCTCTTACCCTATTAGCAAGGTAAAAAAAATCACTACCTCGTACACTATTTTTAATACACGGGATAAAAATATAGGGACTGAGTATTTGCATAGTAAGATTTGGTAGCCTTTACATATCCACTGGAATACCATTTAAATTTGAAACAGGTTGTTATATGAATAAATATGTATTTGAGAGCTGAATAGGAAGCTGTTTGTGTTATAACAGTTTTACACTGCTCTCAATTGTTCCCTACAGGCATTAATTTTGTATTATTCAACTTGTTGGGTTTGTTCTATGTTCAGTAAATCACAGTTGGTTGGGTTTCTTTTAAATCACTGCCATAGACAGGATATTTAAAAAAACAAAATCCCATTCCAAATAATTTCACTCTCTTTGTATAGTTCTTCAATAGCACCCTTGATCAGTGTCACAACCAGAGATAAGCTTGAACAACAAAAGCCACATCTGAACACCCATAAAACTTTGGGAGGGGAGAGAGATTTTTTCACCCTCAATGGCTGGACCTGAATTTAGATCAGAATTTCGTGATTGGATCAATTCTCTAGTCATAATCAAATGTCTCTCAATATCCCTGTTGGAGCCCTGCGAATGAGTTCCCTCCTCCCCCCACTTCTTCCTACTTTATAAACCCAGTCTTGTAGTCCTGCATTTTTCCCATTAACCTTGTGGCTGAGAACAAATGGACAGGACTCCCTTCTGAGCCCGTTAATCCTGTTCAGCCAGCATGAGACATCACAGATGAGTGATACAAAGCATTCCCTCCCCTGTCTTCAGTGAACTCTCAACTCACAATAGCCCAGGGATATGCGAGGAATCTGCCCCAGATCTCCTGCAGCATGACTGAACACTACATCATTTCTCTACCAAGAGGTTGACAGAAAGTGCTTCTTCACGCCCTAGTGTTTTTAAATCAAATCTACAAAGGTCTCCCAGCATGCTAATCATTTTCAGATGTATTTGAGGCACATTATTTACAAGAAAAATCCTCCCCTGTGCTGCACAAGCATTGTAGGGAGGGAAGAGAGCCTAATGAATACAAGGAAGAAGTAGGGCAGGGTACCTCTATATTGCTCAGCTTCATAACACACTTGGCTATGCACCACATTCCTAAAGGGGCGTAGTCATTGGGTAATGGGCCGTACCAGATGGAATCATAGTTGTATTTATGCTGCTGTCAGTAGTAAGTGCCAGACAGGGGACATGTTGTTCACAATCTGATACTGACCCAGCAAAGTAGACATTTCTCTCTTATTCTAAGCTGTTGCTCAGATGAAGGCTCTGATGGTGGTTACCTCTACTATAGCTTTTGCGAAGTCCCAACCAGCAGAGCTATCCTGGGTGGTGGAAGCCTGGATGAAGCCAGGTCTTCTCTACTTGGATACAGAGTTGAGTGTTTCTTGTTGCAAGTTTTCAATGTACTTTGCAGGTAAGGTCGGTAAGATTGGCTGCCTCCAGAGCAGCAGATCCCCCTCAGGAGTGACAAATGCCAAGAATTCTGTGTTTTGGGTTCCAGCCAGTTTTGCTCACTGAGGATAGAGATGGATGGGGAAGTGCTGCAAGCTGTGATTTGGAGCCTTGCCCTCCTTGGCTGTTAAAATCTTGTTAGAGGACAGTAGATCCACTCGTAGTATGACTGTCAATGTTTCCTTTTCACTTTCCAATACTGTCAGTCTGGTATCTGTCATGAGGGCTCTGCATTTGAATTATAGACATTAGAGATGGAAAAGACCTATTAGGTCATCTAGTCCATCTACCTGCCAGAACAGGATTCTTTCCTACAGTATGTATTTGGCCACAAGCGCAGCATAATAAGCAGATGTAGATGTACTAATTAGGAGCGGTAGTGGATTTAATAGTAGTAGATATAATCTTCAAAAGAGTTAAAAATTAAGATTAATTTGAATTTATTACACAACTATGTCTGCATGGTTCTGAAGGAAACTAAGTTTTGAAAGATTTTACTGATCATAGTTGTCCTCCTTTAATACAACGCACATGGATGGGAATACATTTTTATTAGTTACTATGATTTGCTGCTTTATGAATGACAGAAGGATAAGGCAAACAAGATCTGGCAAACCTGGAGGAAAATAGACAGTAAATAAGGTAGGACTCTGAATAAATTGTTACCTGACTGTTGTTTCTTGCTTCAAAATCACTACTCCCAGACTGTTTCTCGTGGCTCAATTTCAGGACACTTTCTCGGAGCAGGTAACAAACCAGCCATTTATATGCAGCTAATGGAACTGCAAGACAGAAGAAATTTTCCATGTGGTAAAGAGAGGAAAACTGAAATATTGCATGTTGATGCTCCCATTGCTAGTAATCACAAACAGAACTGACTTTATTCTAAACTCATGTTATTTGGGACGGATACTGGATTCCTCTTAGAGACTTACATAAATCAATTAAAATCTCCTGCATTGCCATTGCATCACAAATATTCAACCAAACAGTGTTGGGCAGTGTTATTCCTTGGACAAGAACCTCTGAGGAATGCCTAAGCACTGCAGGAAGTGATTCTATTCTCTCTGAGCCGACGCTTAACCAAGGGGACACTGTGTTGCTGGAGATGTTGGAGTAGATTCTCCCTTGTGGCCAAGTTCTGCTAATTGCAGGGCAGAGGGAAAGTTGTCAGGGAGCCAGTTGTGAACCTTTTCCTCTACAACCTGACCCTAGCATAAGGAGCTGCTCTAACTTATCCCACTGATGTAAGGTTCCTGAATGGACCTTATCCCTGAATGCCCTGCCAGTGGAGGGCAGGCATAGCAAAGCTCCACTCTGCCATGACCCTTCCCTGCTTTCAGCCTTCACCATCCTTCCTCCGATATCCTGGAGGTGGGTGTGGGCAGCTTTCACAGGAGGAGCTATGCCACCTCCACCAGCTTGTGACCACTGGAAAGTTGCCCTTTGCTAGGGGAATGCTCTGCTGGCAACCCACTGCCACAAAACAGCAACTTTTGAAGTGCCTGACTGGGGCAAAGTTGCCAAGAGAATCCTGACCATAGTCTTTGAAATAAGAATAAACAAGGTCTTGGCCACATACATTCATTAAATGTCCCATGACACTTTTCACAAGAATGGGTTGTTTCCTGTAACAGAGTCAAATTCTCAGTTTATTATTTATATTCTGCCTCCCTACTGGTTCAATCATGTAAGGTATTTTCTCTTCCTCTTCTAAAGCTCAATCCTGAAAGGTACTGTGTATCTCCTTGCATTGAGGATAGCCAACACCTTGTGGGTTGAGCCCTCAAAAGTTGTGGCGTGACGGTATATGCCATTAAACTGTTACCATGTTCCACCCATCTGTGGCTGTATTTAAGTGGCAAGTGAAGTAACTACTGCAGATCAGCTTGTTAAATGTTTAAAGCACTCTGGGATTATTAGGGAAGCAGGTATTACAGAGTACATACGGGCATGTTTAGTGTTAAGAAAAAGAAGACTGAGGGGGCACTTTATAACCATCTTCAAATATATTACGGACTATTATAAAGAGGATGGTGATCAATTGTTCTCCATGTCCAGTGAAGGTAGGACAAGAAGTAATGTGCTTAATCTGTAGCAAGGGAGATTTAGGTTAGGTATCAGGACACACTTTCTAACTATATAAGGATAGTTAAGTACTGGAATAAGTTACTAAGGGAGGTAGTGGAATCCCTGTCATTGGAGGCTTTTAAGAACAGGTTAGAAATACACCTGTTAGGAATGTGGGTACACTTGGTCCTATCTCAGTATGGGGAGGAGTACTAGATAACCTTTCAAGGTCCCTTCCAGTTCTACATCTCTATGATTCTTGGGCCTGGTCTACACTAGGCGGGGGGATCGATCTAAAATACGTAACTTCAGCTACGAGAATAGCGTAACTGAAGTTGCCGTATCTTAGGTCGACTTACCTCGCGTCCTCATGGTGGGGGGTCAACTGCTGACGCTCCCCCGTCGACTCCGCTTCCACCTCTTGCCGCGGTGGAGTACAGGAGTCGACGGCAGAGCGATCGGGGATCGATTTATCGCATCTACACTAGACGTGATAAATCAATCCCCGATAGATGGATCACTACCCGCCGATCTAGTGGCTAATGTAGACATACCCTTGGCTAAATCCTGGTGGCCTAAATCCTAGTCAGAGACTTAGTCTAGTGCTATTAAATTACTTCTAATAGAAAATTAATACAGATGAACAGATTTAGTTTTTTTTCCAACTGTGATTTGGCTGCTTTGGTAGGTATTAATTGAGGAGACAGAAATGTGCTTAGTTATTAGTTTGTGCTGTCCAGCATGTCACAAGCTTGAGATTTACCACAAAGACAAAACAAACAATCATTTCAGCAAATCTTTTTTCTAAGCCTTTGCATTTTGAAGCTAATCAGATGTTAAGTTTTGTCATAACTATTGAGGCATTATCTCATTTGGAGCTCTGCATCATTACCGAAACTTCAGTAATCCCAGCATTTCTTCATTCAATTAGCTAAGCATTGAAGCAGTTATTTTGGATACCAGGAAACAAGCAGATTGCCTGTTAATGACATCTATAAATTAAGGTTAAATTTCTACCCACAATAAGTTCTCAGTTTCATAGACTCACTTTTGTCTTAAATCCTCATATAGATCGAATTCCCTCTAATTTCCCCCTAGGGGCCAATTCGGGTAAATAGCAGCAATAAGATCGTGGGAATGGCATGTACTGTCTTTCTTAATTTGATTATAGCAGAGAAAACTAAGACAAATGCTGAAGCTCTTTTCTCACTGTTTCTCCATTTTTTCCCACCGAATCAAAGACAATTACTACACAGTGACATACTTTGTCTGTGCATATTGTACTATTCAAAATGTTGCCCTGCTCTCCACTGTTCTAACTCACATGCACTTTCCTTATAAAGCTATTTCAAGGCCCTAATCTAATTACATCAAATGGAGATCTGGCCCATATAAGAGTCCCTGGCCTTGTCTACACTACACAGTTTTGTCAACGAAAATCAGGTTTCATAGACAAAACAGTGGAGGTGTACACACAGCAATGTTCCTCCCACCGATTTAACTCTCCTGCTACACCAACAGAATAAAACCACCTCGACGAGCAACATAGAGCTTTTTGCGACAAAGTTACAGCGACACGGTGTCAGTGTAGACACTGCACTTGTTTATGTTACTCTAAGTGGCCTCTGGGAGGTGTCCCACAATGCCCATCATGACCACTCTGGTTAGCAGTTTCTACTCTGCAAAGGTACTCAGGCATGCGCTCCTCCCACTTTAAAGAATTTTTGAAATTCCACTTCTTGTTTGCTCAGAGTGGACAGCTCACATCGCATCTTCCCAGTTGACCATGCTGGCTTTCCGCAGCAAATAAGCTCCCACGTGGAGTACAATGGAAGTTGCTGGATCTGTTGGGTCTATTTGGAGAGGAGGATGTGTAGTCGTAGCTCCAATCCAGCCATAGGAACGTTGACATCTCTGAGCAGATTGCTCGTGGCGTGGATGAAAAGGGGCAAAAAAGGGACATGTAGCAGTGCCATGCTAAGATAAGGGAGCTAAGGCAGGCGTACTAGAAGGCACGGGAGGCCAACCGTCGCTCTGGTATGGCACCAAAAACATGCTGCTTCTACAAGAAGCTGCACACCATCCTCAGCAGTGACCCGCACCTCCCCTGCCAAGAGCCCCCTGGATACTTCGGGGGGACTGGAGGCAGCAGTCAGCGGAGTCAGCCCTGAGGAGGATGTGGGACAGGCGACAGGCTCATCTGATGGCGTGGCAAGCCAGGACCTCTTGACTCCGGAGTGGTCTAGCCAGTCCCAGCAGTCTGGTTCTGGTGTGCCTGAAGCAGGAGATGGGAGCTCTGAGGAGTACTCATTTTACTTTGATAGTGCATGGTTGCATAAGGTAGAGTGTCTTTTATTTTGCTACATGGTGCATGTGGGAGAAGGGATTGAAATTAACAACCCTAGGTACTGTTTGCATCTGCTTCACATTTCCCTGTGCAGCTATGCAGTGGAGGTCCTGCAAAACAGTTTGTTAATGCACACTGGGATCTCCTGGGAATCCTCCATAGAGATAAAATGGTTACTCATCTTCTTGTAATTGTTGTTCTTCGAGATATGTTGTTCACGTCCATTCCAATCAGGTGTATGCGCGCGCCGTGTGCATGGTCGTCAGAAACTTTTTCCCTTAGCAGCTCCCGTCAGGTCGGCTGGGGAGCCAGCTGGGGAGCCGGCTGGGGAGCCCCCTTCAGTTCTTTCTTACTGTTGGAACTGTCTCGCTTGCCTTGCAAAGTACTCCCTTAGATTAGTTATCTAGTTCTCTTTTTTCAGAATAGTGTTACTAGGCGCTTGTAGTGATCCCCTTCTGAAACCACCCAAATCCTTTGTCCCATCTTGCGCACACACCCTCGGGTCAAATTCACCATGATTAGCGCTCTGGCCGTGCTTGCCAAGGAAAAGTGAGAAAGAGGCGTATGTAACTTTTATGCTTTTCTGATTTCAGACTATGAGTGAAATCACAATACTGACTCTGTGTATTGTTTCTTTTGCTTCTGCAGATGTGCCCTTGAGGGCCAGCTCCTACACACTGGTGGAGCGCCTCTGTCAAATAAGAAGGTGAATGAGGAAAAGTAAGGGCAGCTCTCATTTTGTAGTCCTTGGGCTGTAGGGCGGGTATGAGCTCTGCACAGAGTTCAAGGAAGGTGGCTTTACGCATATGAAAGTTCTGCAGCCACTGCACGTCATCCCATATCTGCATTACAATCTGATCCCACCACTCACTGCTTGTTTCCTGAGCCCAGTAGCAACAATCCACCGTGTGCAGCTGCTTCGTGAATACCAACATCAATCTTGAATTGTTTCTTTCCATGGCACACAACAGCTCATGAAATACTGCAGGATCAGCAGTTCATAACACTTATCACTAGACTGGTGAGCAGTGCAGGATCCATGCTTTCAGGCAGAGATGGCAGGTGCAAAGTTTACAGGGGCAGTTGAAAAATGGCCTGAAATGCAGTTGGAAGACCTTGGAATTTTGGGATGGAGAAAACTCCCAGAACTCTAAGCAGGAGAAGGTGATGATTTGCACAGTGGGATAGCTTTTCACAGTGCACTGCTCTCTCTGTCGGTGCAGGAAGCATTGTATGAACTTTCACAGGCGATGTAATTACAGCAGTTTATGATAATCGATGTAACTTAAGTCTACTTAACTCTGTAGTGTAGACATGGCCTCTCTTAAAAACAATACAATAGCGGAGGACAACTACCAACAAATACAACTTCAGAGGAACAAAAATAACACTTTACTTGAAGAATACATGCAAGCCAATATTGCATGAAACCATTCGGTCTAGCAATTTCATGCTAGAATTCAGTTTGCACGTTTTGTGCCAATGAGACATATTAAGAAATGAAAATTTGGTCCCTTGTAAATTGCAATGTGCATCACACAACATAAATAAATAGTAGAATGCAATTTGATAGAGAATATGTTATAAGAAGTGATGGTTGAACTGAAAAAAGCACTGGATCAGGTGAGAATTCAAATGTTCAGCGGTCAGCTTATCAGATCTAGAGCTGGATAAATAATACAGAAAACTTCGTAAATTTTTATATAGGATTTAAATTTTTGAAAAATATCAACTCCATAAGTTGGTTGAAAAACAGCAAATATTTTTGCCAAAAAAATCATCAAAAATTTGAAAATTTTAAACCAGCTCTATCTGATTCCCTTTGCTGTCTAGAAAGCAGGCTGAAAGGAGACTGCACTTCTCACAGCCACCCAGGTCACAGGTAGCACAAGAACAGCACTTGTTTTTAGTGTGTCTGCTTTGGAATGAAACCAAAAGGTGAAGAGCTGTGCAAAAGTAGGAATAAAAACACCCAACCGATCAAGTTAATTCCCATCCTAGTTCTCTTGCAGTCAAGGCTCTACACACATCATAATAAATACCAGAGGAAAAACATTGCTTATTAGGGATCATAGAATCATAGGGTTAGAAGAACATAAGAATGGCCATACTGGGTCAGACCAAAGGTCCATCCAGCCCAGTATCCTGTCTACTGACAGTGGCCAATGCCAGGTGCGCCAGAGGGAGTGAACCTAACAGGTAATGATCAAGTGATCTCTCTCCTGCCATCCATCTCCATCCTCTGACAAACAGAGGCTAGGGACACCATTCCTTACCTATTCTGGCTAATAGCCATTAATGGACTTAACCTCCATGAATTTATCTAGTTCTCTTTTAAACCCTGTTAATAGTCCTAGCCTTCACAACCTCCTCAGGCAAGGAGTTCCACAGGTCGACTGTGTGAAGAAGAACTTCCTTTTATTTGTTTTAAACCTGCTACCCATTAGTTTCATTTGGTGACCCTTAGTTCTTATATTATGGGAACAAGTAAATAACTTTTCCTTATTCACTTTCTCCACACCACTCATGATTTTATATATTTCTATCATATCCCCCCTTAGTCACCTCTTTTCCAAGCTGAAAAGTCCTAGCCTCTTTAATCTCCCCTCATATGGGACCCGTTCCAAACCCCTAATCATTTTAGTTGCCCTTCTCTGAACTTTTTCTAATGCCAATGTATCTTTTTTGAGATGAGGAGACCACATCTGTATGCAGTATTCAAGATGTGGACGTACCATGGATTTATATAAGGGCAATAAGATATTCTCCGTCTTATTCTCTATCCCTTTTTTAATGATTCCTAACATCCTGTTTGCTTTTTTGACTGCCGCTGCACACTGTGTGGACCTCTTCAGAGAACATGATGACTCCAAGATCTCTTTCCTGATTAGTTGTAGCTAAATTAGCCCCCATCATATTGTATTATTTGTTGGGTTATTTTTTCCAATGTGCATTACTTTACATTTATCCACATTAAATTTCATTTGCCATTTTGTTGCCCAATCACTTAGTTTTGTGAGATCTTTTTGAAGTTCATCACAGTCTGCTTTGGTCTTAACTATCTTGAGCAGTTTAGTATCATCTGAAAACTTTGCCACCTCGCTGTTTACCCCTTTCTCCAGATCATTTATGAATAAGTTGAATAGGATTGGTCCTAGAACTGGCTCTTGGGAACACCACTAGTTACTCCTCTCCATTCTAAAAATTTACCATGTATTCCTACCCTTTGTTCCCTGTCTTTTAACCAGTTCTCAATCCATGAAAGGATCTTCCCTCTTATCCCATGACAATTTACTTTATCTAAGAGCCTTTGGTGAGGGACCTTGTCAAAGGCTTTCTGGAAATCTAAGTACACTCTGTCCACTGGATCCCCCTTGTCCACAGGTTTGTTGACCCCTTCAAAGAACTCTAATAGATTAGTAAGACACGATTTCCCTTTACAGAAACCATGTTGACTTTTGCCCAACAATTTATGTTCTTCTATGTGTCTGACAATTTTATTCTTTACTATTGTTTCAACTAATTTGCTCGGTACTGATGTTAAACTTACCGGTCTGTAATTGCTGGAATCACCTCTAGGCCCTTTTTAAATATTGGTGTTACATTAGCTATCTTCCAGTCACTGGGTACAGAAGCTGATTTAAAGGACAGGTTACAAACCATAGTTAATAGTTCTGCAATTTCACATTTGAGTTCTTTCAGAACTCTTGGGTGAATGTCATCTGGTCCTGGTGACTTGTTACTCTTAAGTTTATCAATTAACACTCCTCTAGTGACACTTCCATCTGTGACAATTCCTCAGATTTGTCACCTACAAAAGACAGCTCAGGTTTGGGAATCTCCCTAACATCCTCAGCTGTGAAGACCGAAGCAAAGAATTTATTTAGTTTCTCCACAATGACTTTATCGTCTTTAAGTGCTCCGTTTGTATCTTGATCGTCCAGGGGCCACACTAGTTGTTTAGCAGGCTTCCTGCTTCTGATGTACTTAAAAACATTTTGCTAATACCTTTTGAGTTTTTGGCTAGCTGTTCTTCAAACTCCTTTTTGGCTTTTCTTATTACATTTTTACACTTAAGTTGGCAGTGTTTATGCTCCTTTCTATTTACCTCACTAAGATTTGACTTCCACTTTTTAAAAGATGCCTTTCTATCTCTCACTGCTTCTTTTACATGGATGTTAAGCCAAGGTGGCTCTCTTTCAGTTCTTTTACTGTACATTTAAGTTGGGCCTCTATTATGGTGTCTTTGAAAAGCATCCATGCAGCTTGCAGGGATTTCACTCTAGTCACTGTGCCTTTTAATTTCTATTTAACTAACCTTATTTTTGCATAGTTCCCCTTTCTGAAATTAAATGCCACAGTGTTGGGCTGTTGAGGTGTTCTTCCCACCACAGGGATGTTAAATGTTATTATATTATGGTCACTATTTCCAAGCAGTCCTGTTATAGTTACCTCTTGGACCAGATCCTGTGCTCCAATCAGGACTAAATCGAGTGTTGCCTCTCCCCTTGTGGGTTCCTGTACCAGCTGCTCCAAAAAACAGTCATTTAAAGTATCGAGAAATTTTGTCTCTGCATTTCATCCTGAGGTGACATGTACCCAGTCAATATGCGGATAACTGAAATCCCCCATTATTATTGAGTTCTTAACTTTGATAGCCTCTCTAATCTCCCTTAGCATTTCATCGTCACTATCACTGTCCTGATCAGGTGGTCGATAATAGATTTCTACTATTATATTCTTATTAGAGCATGGAATTACTATCCCTAGAGATTCTATGGAAGATGTGGACCACAAGGGTCATCTAGTCTAACCCCCTGCCAAGATGCAGGATGTTGTGTCTAAAAGGATATGCCATAGTTTGAGCTCCCTTGAATACTGTGAGTTTGGAAGCATCACTCAATCTCTAATGCTTATAGGTAAGCTGTCTGCTTACAAAAGATGGTGGAAAAACACAGAGTGGACAAAGAGAGAGAAGAAAAATCAGCTACCTGGGGGGAAGGGACAGAGTGAAAATAATTATTTGTATTGAGAAAATAGAAAATGGCTACCTGAGGAGTCCATGCAATCTTCAACACTAGAGGCTGTGAATTTCTGGCCAAGAATATGATTGTAGTCTTCCAAAAAGTTTACTGATCCAAGAGGGGATGCAATAGGAGCTTTATCTGGAATACCAATGATGAATTGATTTGTTACAAAGTCAATGTCAGAATATTTTGAGGTAAAACACTATCCTGGGGCTAGGTTTACTCTTTCTTGATAGGCCAGGTGCAGAAATGCCAAAATATTTAGCTTATTACTGCCTAGTGAGGATTCAGCCGAATGAGGAGAGGTGAATAAGTGCTGAGGCGCTGACCTGGCTGGTTGCAAGCTCCCAGTGGAGCGGAGATTGTAGATTCAATACCCACGAATGGGTTTTCCACACCTGGAAGATGTTGGCCAGAATCTGTGCCAGCAATTTGTCCCGTGATCTTTTATCCAGAAAACAACAAAATGCTATCATTATAATTATTCAGTTAGGCTAAACATTCTGCAACCTGTACTCTCATTGCCTAGCACCATAGTTCATTTGGAATGACTGAGCTGGATTCAGATGCTATTTAACGCGTATAAAGGTGATAGGAGATAGACTGCCTTTATATTATTTTTCAAGGACCACACAGCCCCCCCAGGTGCAGAAAGCTTCCAATGACTTCTAGTGGATTTGGGAGTTTGAATCCCTAGCAGATAGAGCATCAAGCCCTACATTATTTTTTATCATGTTAATTTTTCAAAACTACCTACTTACAACATGGAAAACAACTAGTTACGACGAGGTCCAGATACTGTGGAGACTGATGCAACAGAAATATATAGAGAGGGAGATCAAGACATTTGTTTATGAAGGTACCTAACACATTATTTATGATCTACAAATAATGATTACATAAATAAATTCTGTCAGTATGAAATTATCTCCTAGTCTTGTTACCAAATCACCACTAAATCTAAAACAAGATATAGTACGGCATGCTAACCTTGGTGTTTAGCATTCACCCAGCTCAGTAAGTAGTTGCTGGTTTGCTGAAGCAGAACATTATTGTCTCCTTCATAGGTGCAGTTTGGGTCATTGTCATTTCGAATATCACCTAGACGATTCACTTTTAAAAGAAAAGTCACAAATTTTAATACATAATGTTACTCAATCATTATACAAATATAGGTCAAAAGAACTTGGAAACAATTATTCTGTGAGTAAAAAAATAAAATAAAAAATCGGAATTGGTTTCCAATACAATATAATTATTCTTACCAACAGATGATGCTGAAAAGTTACCCTTTGTTTACAAATCTAAATACATAGGGGCAAATTTTCAGAAGCATGACATCCATTTTATGAGGGCAATCTGCATGTGCAAAATCTGCATCTGTATTTCTCCTCCAAATGAACTGCAAGGGCAGTCTGGATAGTTGTAACTGCCTGATTGCCAGTGCAAATATTCCACTTTGCACCTAAAATTCATTTTGTGGGTGCAGATTTTGCATGTGCCAACTGGATCTGTGTGACACTCTGTACCTCAAAGTAGCATCCTGGAACCCCCATCTTCACCACTGTGAAATGATTATGATATGTTTTGTACAAAGAATGCCTTGTGAAGTATCGTTTAAAAAGTTTTGCTCTGTTGAACATTAACATCCTGTTGAATTATATGTGCTATCATTGTATGTGAAGTTATGAAATACTGCTCTGTATGTGTTACTGAAATATGTTGTGAAGTGGGGAATGTCCACAGCTAGCCTTTCAGTAGCAACAAAGGAGCAACTATCATTGGCTTGATATCCCAAGGCGTTGATATCCCATCAAGAAGAATCCACTCTTCCAGAGGCTTCTCAGAGAGGGCAGGTATGCAATGAGGGTTACCTAACCCCCACCTCACAGCAAGTATCTTTCTAGCAGTTGGAAGAAATTATAAAAGGGGAACAGTGACATCATCACTTGGCCTCTCTCCTCCCCCATCTCAATTTGGCCTCTCTCCTCCCCCATCTCCCCTGGGAGAGCATCTGGAAGACAAAGAGTTTGAACCGGGGAGACTGGTCCCAGGCTGGGAAGGGAATCTAGCCTGTGTATTAAGGACTGTGAGCTGCCTGTAACATGTATTAGGGTGAGAAGAGCTATTTGATTCAGATCTTGCTTAGGCCATGTCTACACTTACAAACTTACAGTGACACCACGGTACTGATATAGCTGTGCGGCTGAAAGAATACGTGTGTAGCTGCGTTATGCCGACAGGAGAGAGCTCTCCTGTCAACATCATAAAACCAGTTCAATGGACGGCGGTAGCTGTTGGTGGGAGAGGGTCTCCCGCTGACATAGCGCTGTGCACACGAGCGCTTATGCCAGCAAAACGTATGTCACTCAAGGGGATGGTTTTTTCACACCCCTGATCGACAAAAGTTTTGCCAACGTAAGTGCTAGTGAAGACATGGTCGTAGTCTGTTAAAGTTAGAATTTAGACCGTGTTTCTATTTTTATTTCTTATGTAACCAACTTTGATCTCTATGTCTGCTACTAATATCGTTTTAAAATCTATCATTCTGTAGTTAATAAATCTGTTTTATATTTTACCTAAAACTGTGTGGTTTTAGTTAAAATGCCTGGGAAATCTCAGCTCAGGTTTAAAAGGACTGTTGCACGTCCCTTTGCTGGAGTGACAAATTAATTAATGAACTTGCACTGTCCAAGGGAGGCTTGAGCAGTGAAAGATGGTATATTTCTGGGGTGACTGCTGGGTGTGAGTCTCCACATGCTGATGGCTGAGTGATGATAGCACCTGGAGGGGTTGGCTGTTTGTCACTGGCATAGCATTGTAAGAGACAGCCCAGGCTGGAGGATTAAGGGGGCATAGTGGTCCGACAGCTCCAGGTTGTACCCTGGGGACACCATCACAATCTGTAAAAAGGAAGATGGGGCCAAAACCCTTTTGAAAACTTACTGCCACTGATGCATACATCTGTACACAACAAAAACTGTGATAGAAATGTGTGCAAACAATCTTAACTGACTGTATCTATTCAGGAGTTTGTAACTTACTGGCCAGGTAACCATGTCCTCCACAAGCTTCTCGACATTCCTGGGCCGCTTGCTGGGCAGTCCAGGAGGCCAGTGGTTTACCACCAGTCGACAAGGCATGAATCTCACGTCCAATTTCAGCCTTTGTAAAAAATAAGCTAATGGTAAATGTTTTTTTAAACAAAACAAGTTCAAGAGTACACACAAAAAGCTAAGGGTGAAATTAATCCATATGACTGCCACAGTCTTGACCAAGACCAGGGATTGAACCAGGTATTAAAAGCCTGAATATGTCTTGAACGAAAAAGAGCCAGGCTCTCTAGCCATGAGCTGTAAACAGACCCACATCCTCTATGGACTGGTCACAAAAGAAGACACATAATACACACCAACCGGGGTGCAAGGCCTATACACCATTTAACTTGACCTGCACAAAGCCCAAGGATTTAAGTGAGACTGAAGTGATAAACAGTCACTGTGCAGACCTTGACACGGGGTGAATTCCACCTTAAGTTATTACAAAAATAATTCTATTTACAAAAAGACAATAAAAAAAACTATATAGTGCACTTATGCTGGTCAGAGTCAGGCCCTATACAGGTGCAGAGAGATAAAAATTATTTCCTTTACAGAGATTGCCAACAAATTCATTGTACTGCTCATTTAACCCACATTTCATAAATGTTAATATTTTACAGTTAAATTATTTTCAAATGTATTAACTTGAATTGCAAACTTGAGCCTGACTCTGAAAAGATATTGTTCTGGCTTATGACAGAAACTCTGTCATGTATCTCATGCAGTGTCAATTTCAGTTGACCAAAACTGAATCTTCATTAAGACAACGCAGAGAGACAAGGTGGATGAGGTAATATCTTGTATTTGACCAACTTCTGTTGGTGAAAGAGACAAGCTTTTGATCTTACACAGAGTTCTTCTTCAGGTCTGGGAAAGGTATTCTATGTGTCACAACTAAATACAAGATGGAACAGATTGTTTAGTATAAGTAGTGCATATTGCAAGAGCCCATTGAAGGTGCAGTGACCAGTAATTACTTAGGCCCCTATTTAAGAAGAAACATTACTGTTTTGGAAAGAACTTGAATGTATGCTTAAATCCCATTGAAGTCATCAGAACATAAACCCATGATCAAAGTTAACTGCTTTCCTGGCCTTTAACACTAATGTTTCCCTCTTCCCCTCATTTCTGAGACACTTGTGTATACAGGCCCTTGGTTTAACAATTTGAAGTTTACTGCATTGAAAACCCGAGTTGCAATTAAAAGGATATGTATATACATCTCACCTGTCTTGGACTCTTATCCTTCATCAGAAGACCTATGTGAAATTCTATGAAGTTCATGAACAAAGACTTGGCGAAATGGTCTAAGGCATATGTAGCTGCCAGATAGGGAAGCAGGCGCCATTGCTAGAATGAAAATTAAATCTGTGTGAGGGAAGGTTGATATATACATATTATTAGGGGCTTTTCCAAGGATACTCAAAACCCCTATGGTATAGTTCTTCAGTTTCTAGAAAACTACCATATTTCAACTTCAATCTTCTAATTATTAAGCATCTGCCCTCCCACCCCCAATACCCTATCCAAATACAGACTATATTGTTTGTGGTTATGTTCAATTAGCAATTAGAGCTGGATGGGAAACAATTTTCCTGTCCCACAAAAATTTGAGATTTCAAAAAAAAATTCCCATCCCAAATCAGAACAAGTCAACTTTTCATAAACCAAAAATCCCCCCCCCCAAAGAAGAAGAATAATTTGGGTCAATTGAAACATTTCAATAATTTTGAAATGTTTTTATTCGGTTTTTGGCTTTTTCCTCCCAGAATTAGTTTAAATGAAAAGTCATTTTGAACCAGAAGACTGGAGTTTTTCATTTCAAACATAATTTTGACAATTTAAAAACTTCTTTGGATTGAGAAATTTGTTGAAATCAACCCTCTCCAGTGAACAGTTATGGTTTTGACAAATTGGCATTTTTCAATGAAAAATGTTTCATTGAAAAATTCCCAACTAGCTATTTTTGCAATGGCTCTTTAAATCAGTAAAGTAAATGAACCTTCTTCACAGGGATGCTCATGGTGAAACCATCCAAGTTCATGGTTCCTATTAATTTTTGATAAACATCAGATTAAACCAGCACATTGGTTCAATGAAATTCTTTGGGTGCAGAGACCATCTTTTTATCCTGTGTTTGTACAGCTTCTGACGTGGGCTACAGCAATACAAATAATTATTTCTATATTTTCAAAGGTTAATAAAGAAAAAAGGCTAAAGCAATGCACACAAACATGCTAACCAACTGTGCATTGATAAAACCAATGGTAAGGTGGAGGGTATTCTTCTTATTGTTTTCTTTAATACCCACAATGTTGTAGACAATGTTTACACACAAACACCCTACCCCAATCTTTCAATTGAAGATGACAAGCCAAATCAAAAGGAGAGAAAGAGAAATATAATCAAAAGAGGTACAGTTGTTATATAAATTATGCACTTCTTGGTTTGTTAAATAATTTACACTTCAATGGTATCTGACTGCTCCTAACTTATCTATGATTAGTTTGCCTGTTTGTTGACAGCCTCAAGGAAGAAGTGGGTCTTGAGGATGATCTAGTACAGCCCTTATGGGTCCGTTGAAGGAAGGTGTTCCATGGATCGGGGACAACATGGAAGTAGGTGCAACATTGGTTGTGGAAGATGTGGAAAAGAGAGTAGTCAGGGACTATGGAAGAAATGAAATGTGAGACAAAAGCAAATAAACAGAGAGGGGCAGAGCTGTGAGGACCTTGAAGGTCAGGATAAGAATCTTGAATTTGATGCAGTGGAGTAGTAAAAGCCAGGAGAAGGATTCAGCAGATGGGGTGACATGTTCAGAACAACAGGTGAGGAAGATGATCTTAGCAGCTGCATTGGGAATAGACTGGAAGATGATGTCAATGTAGGGCAGACCAACACAAAAGAAAGCATGATGAAAGTTGATATGGACCCAGAGTTTCTGAAAAGTAACAATAAACTCCCTCCCACCAATGTCAGAAAAGTGCTTCTAAGAGCTCAACAATATATTGGGGTTTCAGTATTCCAGGGTCTGATTCTTAGTTACATAAAGCCAATTTACACCTCTCTGGCAGTGAGAGGTGTGTGCTTTAAGGCCTCTTTACATTGCCAGAGTGATGTAAAGGAGCCTAAGGGCTTGTCTACAATTACAATGCTGAAGCAGCTAGTGCTTAGTGAAGATTCAACCAATGCTGGGAGAGATTCTCCCGTTGGCCTAGGTACACGATCTCCCTGAGGGTATGTCTACACTACGAAATTAGGTCGAATTTACAGAAGCCGGTTTTATAGAAATCGGTTGTATACAGCCGATTGTGTGTCCCCACATAAAATGCTCTAAGTGCATTAAGTCGGCGGACCGTGTCCACAGTACCGAGGCTAGCGTCGACTTCCGGAGCGTTGCACTATGGGTAGCTATCCCAGAGTTCCCGCAGTCTCCG